TTGTAATAGTTTATTTAAATTGTAAAATAGATAGAAATTAGAAAAGTTTAGTATGATTCTTCAGCATTTAAACGTCTACTCTTGTCAATTGGGTTTTTGTTGCTAAGTCCATTATAGGGGTATTAGTCTTTCAAACATTTTTCAAACTTTCTAGTGTTCGCACCCTGCACTAGCCATTGTAATTTCCTGCTTTCGTCTATTGTAATTTTAGCTTTCAAGCAATCAATGATCAAGTTATGTTCGATGTATTTCAATTTTATGTTGCAAGCTTTCTTTAAATTATAATCAAATTGTCTTTCGTCCCGAAATGACCGAGAGAAGGCGGAAGGTAGTCTAGCGGAGCAGACTACTGCTGCACATTGTCCCTTTCTGTGCTAAGAAGAAAGGTAACCTAGATAGGTAGTACTTCTAAGCTTTCTCTGCGGTGGCGTAACCGTGGTCAACATTCCTAGGTTGCCGTGTCCGGTCGAAAATTGTTGTGCCTGCCCCATATCTTATACTCGTACCCGTGTCGCGTCGTATTGTGTTGTGTCCGTTGACACGAGTATGCCGGCTAGAAACAAGATTTCGAGCATCACATGTGCTAAATAGCATTACTCCTGATTTAAAATGGGTATTCAGTGAGTCCTTTGATTGGATTCCTGCTAAAGGCACAATTTGTAAATTGCATGGTCTTTATATCGGCTTGATGGTCTTTCTTGAAAAAAATATACTTTTGTGCAATTAGCTAGAGGTTCGCCCTTAAAAGAAACAAGAATCCTTGGTCACCAACTAATTGCTAACTTCATTAATTTAGTTGTCAACAAACAAACATCATGTGTTGATTAGTGTTGTTATTCTTGGCTTTATTTCTCATCATTTAATGTGTATGTCTTCTTATAGTTATGAACCATCCACCTTAAATCTTAATCTAGAAGATGTAAAGTTTTATAAGTCTTTTGAATAATATATTATTGTAAGCCCTTGTTTGACAACCATTAAATTGGAAAAATCATGTTTTGAATAGTGATTTTTAGGAGAATGTATAGTTAAAAAGTAAGAATTTTTTTTGAAATTATGCACAAAATATTTTATTGTGTGAATGTATGGTTGAAATTGAATATGTAGAAAAAATAGTTTTCAAATAATGGTTGTCGAAGTAGGGCTAAATTGGCTACACGTTTCAGATATAGATTGGATATTGTTGAACCAATTGATATATCATTTAAATATTATTTTCGACACAACCCCTTGCATATAGGCAAGATTTTTTTTTTTTTTTTTAAAAGCATAACATATGCACAATTCATTTCTTGACCTTCCTTTTGATTTTTTCAAGAAACACTTTTTTCTCCCCCAATCTTTTATTTAACATATTTTTTTATATGTCAATGACTAATCAATTCAAATATGATTTGAATAATTTAATAAATAAAGTATTGAAATCTGTGACTTATTAAATGCAATCATTAAAAAGTAAAAATAGAAAGTAAATTTGGCTCTCCAAACTCTCTATTATAGAAAGTTAGAATAAAAAATCTCTTAGAGCTTATTTTTAAGTATTGACATTCTAAATTAGAAAATATCGTATGTTTAAAGAGTCGTGGATATGCTCTAACTTTATATTATAATACTTTAAAGATGTTTTACGTAAATTTGATAACTAAAATTACTTAATAGTAATGAATTTAAATAAAGTATACATCCATTATGAATGAGAAAATGGTTTGATTAGATCTTTTCTTTACTTTGTTACTAGGTCGTAGTTGTGAAGTAGTGTTTTAAGACATATTAGGTGTCAAAGAGTTATCTCTATTTCAAAGGGTTGGCATGAATCTCGTGGTCTGAGTGTAATATCATACCAGACTTGGGTATGGAATTTCAGAACTGCACGAGTAACTAGCTTGCTAATAAATATCAAATGCTGAGTCCATTTGCATGTTCTGCTTTCTACTTTAATTGTATGGCCAGTTGGATTATCAAAACTTCATTGTGCTTCTATTATTGTCCACAGTGGCGAACCCAAGAACCGAGTGAGGTAGGGCGGTCGTTGACTGTCAACGGCCGAAAATAGCGAGATTGTTCATTGGCGACGTTTATTTTAAGTTGTGACTCTGATTAGCAGTGTGCTCTACTTATATTCAATATGTTTATATTATCTCGTCTGGTACGAGGTTGTCAAACAACCATGGGGGAATTCCTACAAAAACCAAAATTTTTCATCATTTACCATAAATCAGGATGGAATAAGTAGAATGATCCACAACACAGACTTCCTATCAACAAAACATTCAATTTGAGAATCAATTTCAAACCAAACTAAGGAGAATCAAATTAGACTGAAAGGGTGTATTTGATTGCATTTATTTTCCGTAGAAAATGTTAGTTTTACATCCAAATTCCTACTTTGAAGTGTTTGATTGCTATATTTTCTATAGAAAATATTTTCCAATTTTTAAAATATGCCTAATTTTCCTTTTTTTAAGGAAAATATTTTCTTTGGGGGAGTAGGTTTTTGTTTTCCTAAAAAAAAAGGAAAATATTTTCTTTTTTAGGATATATTTTCCAGGTCAATCAAATAGATTCTAATTTCTGCACTTACATGGAAGATGCAATAACAGATCTCTGATTGGCCATTGACCGGGGAAATTTGACGGGGGAACTATTTGCTATACTAATTTAACCTTATCTGCGAAGACACAATAGTCATAGCTAGCTACATAGTCCATTAAATCGAGGGAAAAGAGTTTTAGTCTATAGCTAAATACTAAAAATTGCCAAAAAAAATTAAGAAAATCAGCATACAGACCGGGGGAGAAAAGAATTCAAGTTACTGAAGTCCCACTAAACCCAAAAGCAAAAATTCAATGTCAAGGACTTCCAATACTTAACCCAACTTGCTATGGTTCTAGATAATCAATTTCTCCTACATCTCTTGTTTACTTCTGCTTATCCTCAAAGAACCTATAACAACTTATTCATCATTTTAGGTCACTTCTTCCCACATCATCCCAACATAGTATCATCCTCATCTTTCTATTTTTTCATATTGTCCTCTGTTTATTTTCAAATCATAACTCATAAATGATAAATAAAAAAATGAACTAAAAGAACAAAAACCAAAAAATGAAAAAGAAGACGGGCAGGAGGCTCACAAGTCATGTAGTAACGGCGGCAATGCAGTGGGCAGTGGTGGATACCGGAGAGTGATAGAGTCAGGGCGGCGATTTGTTGTTTGATTTGCAATTGAATTATTAAGATTTGTTTTACAATCCATTAAACTTGCATCCAGTGGATTGGGCCTAATTGATATCATTGTCAATTCTTCGTCTACTATCTATATTGACTACAAGATAACATCAGTTCATCTGTCCAAGACTAAGATGTTTCTTCGACGATGAAACCCTAAATTCATTATAAAGATTTACGCACGAAATAATCCTAGTCTCGAATGATATCTTCTCGTAGACACTTAAAGACCAATTTTTCTGTCTTTTTACTGGTGTTTCCCAGTCAAAATAGAAATACGATCATGCATGGTTATTTAAGTTTTGACGTTTCAGTTTACTCTGGTGAAATGTTAGAAAAATAAATCCACTTCGTAATTTCAGGTCCTATATCCGGCCCCGGGGAAGCAGAATATGTATTGAAGAGAACTAAAGGAGTTCATGGATTCTATGGTGCATCAAGTTTAGAGAGGCTGCCAGTTGAACAAGCAATAACAGCTACAGTTCAGCAGTACAAATCTATTTCTATGACTTAAAAAGTTAAACGTAATTCTTTTTTGTGACTTTTTAGAGATATGCTCGGTGTATACTCTTGTAAGTTTACCTGTTATCAGTTCTGATGCATACTCCTGTTTCTTCATAAAACCTATTGTTGAAAGTTGGGATTGCTTTTAATCGGTATGCAACATATACGAGGACTTCAAATAAAAAGCTGAATATATTTCCTATAGGACCTCTCGCACCATAGTGGTTCTTGCCTTTTTACTCTCTTTAATGAAAAAAGTTATTTTTTACTCTCTCGTTCGACATGGCTTTTGAGATCCAAACAGTTAGATTTGGATTTGTTTGACTAATTTGATGAAAATGCTTCGATTTAGAAGAGCTTTTGGAAGAATTTTAATGTGGCTTTCTCTAAAAACACTTTCGGAATAGTAAATTCTTTCGAAAATTAGTTTCCAAACAAAAATTAAGGTATTCTTCCAAAAATTCTTATACATAAGCAAAAGTAAAAGTAAAAGCCATGTCAAATGGAGCTTTGATTGGTATTAAAGAGTTCTGCAATAAATTCACATATTTGGTGTGTAGTATTGAACATGACTAATATGACAATATAATGAAAAATATTTTAATTTCTTTTTTTCTCTATTAATGTCAAGTACTATTCAATCTATTTTTTCACACTCGATCAGTTCATATTTTATCCAATTTTATCTCATACAGCATACCAAACATATCAATACATTTGATAGCGGACCCGTTAAATTACATTACTCCGAACTTCTCGAGCAATATCCAATCAAGCACATATATGGGTGTGTTCAAGTGTTCATAAGTATCGAAGCCTACTACTTTTTGTGATTCAAAATAAATAAATTGTGGGTCTTGTACAATAATTATGATTCATATTTTATCTATATGTTTAAAAAATAACTTTTAAGCATGACCAAACAATCGCTGATTAATTACTTAATTGTATGTTAGAGGTTTGATATTTTAGGAGCTCGTTTGATAGGTTAATTTGTTCAGAGTAAGCAAGATAATTCATTAAAATGTCACACATTTCTCTTTTCAATTGTTTCTACTCTTTGCCGTACTTAATATGCTCTAAATGAGTCGAGATTTGATATTATTAGAAATGTCCATATTCGTAAAGCAAAAACATGGTAATACCCAGTTTCGACCCACCATTCGCTTTTCAGCCGATGCGCCGACGCTTATTACAAAATACATATTTAGACTAAACAATTTTTCGAGCAATTTAATTGCACTAAAAGTGTTTAGTCTGTGTCAAAATACTAGGTTTTGATCTCTGTATATAACGTCTTCCCACAACATTTTCCAACTATTATAAGCAAATAAAAGCTAGTGGCAATAAATCATTGACTTACCTATAAATCATTCACCTATTTACTTCAATGAACTATATATAATACTCAACGTATTATAAAATTAAAATATATTAAAATCTTATGAAATGCCATTTTTTTATATTATAATACTTTGACTGTTAAAAAGACGAGTACCAAAAATACGCTTGATATCAATTTTTGTCAAGGCATTTCATATAGTTGCGAAAATAGAGATCCTGTTGCGAATGCTAATTGTTGAACAATTATGTGTCCAGCATTCTACAGTTCCAGATTGCTCGGTGGTACTGAGATAGTTTGAACTGGCTCAAAGGAAGATAACTGTCGCAAAGGCTTATGTTCTTTTGAATAGTAGAATTTCCGTAAAGCATGTCTTGAAAACTAAAGGGTGCATTTGGTTTTGATGTTTTCATTTTCAGTTTGCAATTTTGCGAAACAATAAAAAAGCGTTTGGTAAAGTATTTTTTAAAACAACGTTAAACTTAAAACGTAAAATTCAAAATGCATTTTTGTCGCATCGAGTATTTTTAGTGAAAATTTTGAAAGCACTCAAAAGATGGAAACAAGCATTTAACTAAAATTTTAAAAAACATAAGTATAATATTCTAATGAATAAAATTTTAAAAGTTTTCAAAAATTGATTCAAAAAGAAAATTGATAAATTCTGAAAGATAAAAAAATAAAAATTTTGAAAAAATATAATCTAAAATTCTAAAATAAAAAAATTAACTTCAAAAAATTAAATTTTTGAAAAAATATAATTATGAAAATTTATAGAAAAATAAAAATTTTAAAAATAAAAAAGTTAAAGCTCTTAATGATTATTTAAATAAAGATTTTGAAAAAAAAATATTGTTAAACACATAAAAATATTCTCAATCCACGTCATTAATTTTAAACTCAATTTATTATTTATTTTTACTTTACTTCTGTGATGAAAAAAATATTGTAAGATTCACAAATTTTATAATGTATATATAAATTGATAATATAATAACGTAAAATTATTCAATTTTTACTGAATAATCAAATTTTAAGGAATAAAATGTCATAAAATAAATTTCAAAATAAATATATTTTTTAGTTTTTTGTTTTGAGAAACATTTTTCAAAATAATAACCAAACGCGTTTTTAACCATTTTAAAACAACACACTCAAAAGAAAACTACAAATAAACTCAAAATTGAAACACAAACCAAACTAGCCTTAACTTTTTGTGCACTTACCAAGCATCACCAATATGAATTTTTTATAAAGAGGGTAAATTTGATATACAAAAATGCCATTTTTTCAATATAATCAAAAAGTGGTCTTTTTTTTCCCTCTCTTACAATAAGTGACTTCTTTTTTTTATTTTTTAAATAAGAAAACTATAATGTGCGTTCGTCGTGTCGACTTTAGAACGTTGGAAAAAGGATTTAGACTTTAGATAGTCAATGTATATGTTTACTTAAGAATAATGCTATGTAGCTTTACTGTGATTACAATCCTAGTCTAGATGGTACTAAATAATAGGCTAAACGATATGTGGAATGAAATGACTTATTTAATTTTACCTATCATCTAATACCACATTACTGTCACCTAAATTGGGGTGTAATTCAATGGGGTCAAATAGTATTACTCTTTACTTAATCTAAGAAAAAATTGGGGTACGTGTAATATTATTTTATTGCAAAATGCATGGTTGAAAAAAAAGAGAAAAATGTATTATTTGAAAAGGGGGAATTTGCATAGATACCACAAAATTTAAAAATGCAAAAAAAAAAAAAAAATGTAAACACTTTTATAAAGAAGGCTAAAAATGTGACTTTTTGGGTGTGAAATATCCAAATCATCCTTGTAGATACCTTTTTGGGTGCATTTAATGCTCATTAATGCATGCATTTAATGCTAATTAATGTCATGATTTGATAATTTGACTTGTGTAAGGAAAATCATTGAATATATCTATAATCCAATGGGTAATAGAATTGTTAAAAAAAAAATCAAAACATTGTATGTACTGATTTTCATACTCCGAAGACCCCAAATTCTTTTGGCATCTTCTCCATTCCAATATCAAGAAAAAAGTTTATTGGATTCATCTTCCACATTGAGAGGTTAGCAATTATAAATTGTTTAATATTTTTTCGTATAACTTACTATCTTTGAATTGTTAAATCCAACATGCTAATATTAATGTAGAATTTTGCTAATTATTATTTATGCCTTCGATTTGATTTTGCTAATCTTTTTTAATAAAGATGGCTATATCCTCCATATATTGTTGTGAAACACTTCGTATTTAAACATTGGATAAGTTATTTGTCAAGATTTTGTCATGAATGTAGTTGAGCATTGACGAACACACTTAATGCTACGAAGAATGTACTTCAATTACATCCCTTACATACTACTTAGGTGGTAATCGTAAATATCAACATTTTAACTATTGAACATAACGTCGAGATCGACATTTCAAATGTTGAACTCAACACTTCGTAAATATCGGTAATGACATTTCAATTGTCGTTTTCACCAATTTGCTATTGTTTGGTATAATTTATCCATAGGTGCTACTTGCATGCTAACGTAGTCCCATATATTACTTGTGTCAAATGGTTATCATTGTCATCTCAAATTTTTCGGTATGAGTAATAATCTGATATTCATCATACTAATGTAGTCCCATATATTATGATTGCACTATTCATTACCATCATGGTAAGGCTAGTGTTGTTGCCGATACTCTAAGTAGAAAGTTGATGAGACAGTTGACATCATTACCTACTATTAAGATGGAATTGATCAAAGACTTAGAAAATTTGTGAACAGAAAAGGTTACAACACCAGAGCAAAGTATCGCTCGTTTAGCAACTTTGGTGGTTCAACCAACTCTCAGAGATCGAATCATAGAAGCACGAGGTAAAGACCCATTTTTGCAAATGATCAGGAAAGACATTGGTACCGATAGGAAAAGGGATTTTGGAATAGCTTCGGATCGGACACTGATGTTTAAAGGAAGAATTTG